CGAAGTCCAGCAGTTCGAGTTGCCACGTTCCAAATAGCAAACAAATGTAGACAAGTAAATGAGTGAAGGGAATCAATCGAGTTTCGACAAGTATAAGAGTGAAACACAATGAGTAATGGTAGAAAGGAATATGAAAGATTACAGAGACTGAATACATCTGCATAAGCCATTGACAACGATTTTGAGCCACGTCACTTATTGTCTCCAGCCATTTATTCTTAGAGTCCCGACGGCCCCAACCCAGAAGTCTGCATCTCCCTACCTGACTCAGTTTAACTGTCAAGGATTTCATGGATTGATGAGGCCATGTTTTTGTTTGGCCACCACTTACTCTTTTCCAACCTGCACCTATATCAGCTAGTAATGCCCGTCGGGGGAGGCGCAGGCTAGGCATGCGCAGCACGTGGCCTAACCATCTCAATCTATGTAACTTCATTGCCTCTTCGAGTGATTTTCCCTCTCTGCCCAACACTCTACGCCTAACGTCTACATTACTTACCTTATTATACCACCTAACGTGAGAAAGAGATCGTAGACATCTATGATCAAAAGCAGTTAACCTTTTCATGTCTTCAACTCGTATTGGCCATGTCTCAGAGCCATAGAGAAGGACGGAGCGAACTGCTGAGTAGTACACACGTCCCTTGGTTGAAAGCCGGATGTCACGCCTACACCAGAGATGGTGTAAGTTAGCGAAAGCAGCTTGAGGTTTTCGGATCCGTGCTGAGATTTCGTCACCAATCAATCCGTTGGTGCTGATACAACTTCCCAAATAGTTGAAGTGGTCAACATGTTTTATCACTTCACTCCCTATCACTAAGCTAGGAGTTGACGTAGTCCAGTCATTCCTGTAGCAGCATCTTACATTTTACAGGGGCGAATCGCATGCCAAACATACGAAGATTGCTGCTCAAGGTGTTGAGAAGACTCTGCATTTTGTCAGCGTCCTCCCCTAACAGGACTATGTCGTCTGCGTATTCTAAGTCTATAAGACTATTCCCTGGTAACAAGTCGATTCCTAAGTCGGTAAGTTCAGTTAAGGATACTTCCATTAGCATATCTATGATGAAGTTAAACAGGAATGGGGAAAGTGGACATCCTTGACTGACACCACTGGTTGTTATCAATTCAGATGACAATTCCCCATAAGCCCTTACACAGCTACGTGAGTTTGAGTAGAGTGCCTTGATTAGTGCAATGTACTTTCTTGGCACTCCCTTCATAGTCAAACATTGCCATAGAACCTCTCGATCCACGGAGTCGAAGGCCACCTTCAAGTCAAGAAATATGGCAATTGTTGGGCGCCTAAAAGTGTGTCTATGTACTAGGATCTGTCGGAGAGTGAAGATATGATCTATGCACCCTCTACCTGGCCTAAAGCCTGCTTGATTTTCCCTCGTTTGTTCCTCCCGAGTTCGACTTAGTCTGTGCATGATTACTGAGCCTAGGATTTTAGAGACTATGTTCGTTAAGCTGATCCCCCTATGATTATCACATGAGGACTTGTCTCCCTTCTTGAATACTGGTATAATAAGTGACTTACCCCAGTCTGATGGAACCGTCTCTGATTCCCAGACGTTACCTAGTACCTTAGTTAAACTATATACTAGTATGTCACCCCCATATTTAAACACCTCCGGAATAATTCCGTCGGGTCCCGCAGCTTTGCCTCGTTTAAAATTACAGATAGCTTTGGTGACCTCACTTACAGACGGCGGGCCAGTGTCTATGCCCCATTCGGGTGTGTGCTGGATGGCGGGGAGGCTCAGTGTGGCTGTAGGCAAGTTAAACTGTTCCTCGAAGTTCCCTTCGACACCAGAGATGGTGTGTGTTGGCAAATGCAACATGGGTCTTTTGTATCCGTCCTGTGAATACAGCAATAAGACAAGGTTACTCGGCCTTCTATCACTGGTGATATTCCTAATTGTGCTGTCTGTCTGTCTGTCTTTCAGTTTCCGACATAGAACTTTGCACCGATGTGCGGCAGTTCGAGTCGCCACACTCCCTCCTTGTAGCACACAAAACAAGAGAAGTAAGTAGAAGAAATTCAAACTGGAGACAGTAAACAGAGGTGGGAGACAAAGGAATAGTAATAACGAAGAACAAAACAGTTTAACTGGAAATCATAAGTCACAAGGAGTGTGCGCATCTGCGCCATTGACAGCGATTTTGAGCCATATCACCAATTGTCTCCGACCATTGGTTTCTACCGTCCCGAGGACCCCAACCAATCAGGAAGTCTACACCTTCCTATGTGGCTGGCTGGCTTGAACTAACTATTGTAGATTTCATTGACTGGTGCCATGTTTTGGTTTGACCGCCGCTAGCTCTTTTCCAGCCTGACCCTATGTCAGCTAACATTGCCCGTCGAGGAAGGCAATGACTAGGCATACGTAACACATGTCCTAACCATCTCAGTCGATGTAGCTTCACAGCCTCGTCGATTGATTTCCCCTCCTTACCTAGCACTCGACCGAAGCCTAACCTCAATGTTGCTCACCTTATTATACCACTTCACGTGGGAGATAGAACGCAGACACCTATGATCAAAGAAAGCTAATCTTTTCATGTCGTCCACTCTCAATGGCCAGGTCTCACAGCCATAAAGGAGGACGGAGCGAACTGCTGAGCAATTGTGTTGGACTGGATTATGCCTCAGATTGTGGAGAGACAGATGAGAGGATTACGTTGGATCGAAAAGAAGGTTCGGGAAGATATGGATTCAGCGGATGACTTATCTCTAATGTCACATAAACCCAAAGACTTACAAGCGAAGACCAACGAGTAGGCAGAAGAAGCAGCCAGTGAAGACAGGACTTCAAGTGAACAGAGAGAAGACGGAGGTGATGAACATAACTAACCAATCTACAGAAAACAACAACAAGTACCAATCACTATCAGCGGGAGGCAGTTGCAAGAGATCGCTTCCTACACTTATCTAGGAAACACTGATTCAACTATAGGCAGTAAGTATGTGTGGGAATGTCAAAACCAGAATCGGAAAGTTACGGTGTGCCTTCGTCTCTCTGAAGTCAGTTTTTGAAAACTCTGCAATTTGCAGCATAAAGAACAAATTTCGGCATTTTCAAACACCAATTTTAAGTCACTCTGTTTTTCTGTATGGGTCATGAAAAGTATCTCCACCAACCAGAAGCTGCCCTCGCTAGTGCGAAAGAATTATCAACAATAAATTCTGGAAATAAACTGACCGAGAACCTATTGTTCAACAAATATTCCAACAGAAAAATGCAGATGGATTGGGTACAACACGCTGGGTAGACCATCAAATGACACCATACACCAGGCCATCACTCAAGTGGGCGTTCAGGTTACTAAAGCTATCACTAGTCTGAAACAAGGCAGAGCAGCAGGACCTGATGGAATGACTCTAGAGGTATTTAAGTATGGTGGAGGCAGTTTACTGTCTGCATTAAATGAAGTACTAGACAGCGTCTGGGAATCAGAAGAAGTCCCGTCAGGTTGGTGTAAGTCACTGATTATCCCCATATACAAGAAGGGATACAAGTCTTCTTGTGATAATCACAGAGGGATTAGCTTGACTAATATAGTATCTAAAGTCCTAGGCTCAATGATATTGCATACACTACGACGTGGTGCTCGGGAGGCACAAACACGAGAAAACCAGGCAGGCTTTAGACCAGGAAGCAAGAGGATGTATTGCTCATATCTTCACTCTTCGACAGATTCTAGAACATAGGCATTCTTACCGGCGTCCAACAATCATTATATTTCTTGACCTAAAGGCAACATTCCATTGTGTCGACCGAGAGGTACTCTGGCGATGCTTGGCTGTAAAGGGAATGCCGAGAAAATACAGTGCACTGATCAAGGCACTCTACTCGAACTCATGCAGCCAGCAATGTGAGGGCTCACAGCGAGTTGTCATCTGAAGTGGTGACGACTAGTGGCGTCCGTCAAGGATGCCCATTATCACCATTTCTATTCAACTTCATCATAGATGTACTAATGGACTTAACCCTAACTCACTTCAGAGACACAGGGTCGACTTGCTACCAGGCAATAATCCCGCAGACTTAGAATATGCAGACGATATAGTTCTCCGTCCTAGGTGAAGACGCTGACAAAATGCAGTCTTCTGAACACCTTGAGTTGCAATCTACGAATGTTTGACATGCAATCCGGTCCCGCCAATTGTAAGATGATGTTACAGGACTGGATTACACTGACTCCTAGTTTAGAAATAGGGAGTGAAGTAGTAGAGCATGCTGACCGCTGTGAAGTTACATCGACTGAGATGGTTAGGATATGAGTTACGCATGCCTAGCCATCACCCTCCTCGATAATCGGCAATGTTAACTAACATAGGGTTAGGCTGGAAAAGAGCTAGCGGTGGTCTAACCAAAACATGGCACCAGTCAATGAAATCTACAACAGTTAGTTTAAGCCATGTAGGAAGGTGTAGACTTCCTGACTGGTTGGGGTCCTCGGGACGGTAAAAATCAATGGTTGGAAACAATTGGTGAAATGGCTCAAAATCGTTCTCCTCAATGGTGCAGATGCATCCACTCCTTGTGACTTAAAATTTCCAATGAAACTATATCGTTCTTCGTTATTACTATTCCTTTGTCTCCCACCTCTGTTTACTGTCTCCAGTTTGCATTTCTCCTACTTTCTTCTCTTGCTTTGTGTGCTACATGGACTGTGGCGACTCGAAATGCCGCACATCGGTGGAAAGTTCTATGTCGAAAACAGACAGACAGATAAGTGGGCGTTGAATGGGAAACGACGAGTTGGGCTTGTGTCCGTAGGTGACATGGAGGATATCATGGAAGCAGGAGGAGGTGACAGACTATGAGCAATCGTGGTGCTAGCCAGCTGAAGAGAACTGCGGAGTATAGGACAAAATGCAGATGTAATGTTGATGCCCAGTGTTCCATACTAGGAACCCAAGGGAAAAACAGTAATAATAATAATATTAATAATAATAATAATAATAATAATATGATCCATATACTCACCTTGTCATATTCACTTTCTAAAATCTTTGTATCTTTTGATTTGCTCTTCATATCCCCACCGTCAACATTCTCCTCATCATCATCAGAATTTGAATCATGAAAAATATTTTCATCATCACCTTGATCCGAATCATCATCATCGTCATCTTCATCATCATAATCATCGAAAGCTTCACTTTTGTCGATATCCATATTAAAATCTTCATCACTGTCGTCCTCACCACCACCAAGAGCATCATCATTATTGTCATCGTAATCCTCTGAATCAGACAGATACTTTTTTCTATCACTGGTATACTCGACCTTGCTTTGAGAGGCAGTAGCATGTTTTCTAGCCTCATCCAGTTCAATGGCTTTACGCGCTTTCATGTCTTTCTCCAACAGTGTATTCGCATCTTCATGTTCACCCCATTGACCAGTTGTAAAACGATTACAAATTAACTCGTGAGATGATACATCCTCCCAGGAGATAGTAGTTGATTTATGAATTGAACCAAGCGTGAAATCATGATCTCCGACAAATGAATCACTAGACTGTTTAGGTAAACTGTCATTGCCATCTACAAAATATACGAAATCAGTGTGTGTATATGTATAAACAAAAGTGAACAGAACTACAGGCAAATTAGAAACTTAAGAAGTAAAATCAGAAAATCAGTCAGCTCATGATGAAATCCTTCATGCAATCAAACAAAAATCCCTACAAAACCAATACTTGAAAATTAATCTGATGCTCACTAGCGACTGGCCCTATTCATCAGGCAGTTAACCTGGGGTTCTAGCGGGAAGCCGTGACCAGTAGGGTGCAGCAGGTTGAAGATGAGGCAGTAACTCATCGAAGAAGACATTGCGAAATGGTTGCGCTATGTCGTGAATTGGCAGAAGTTAGAATTCAAGGACCATTAGATCGGATCCCAGTGGTTCAATGGTCTACGAGCTAGTTCGCCTTGTAACCAGAAGATCCTGAGTACGAACCCCAGTGAGTGCGTACTGATGAAGAGTCCCAAACTAGGACGTAAGAAACAGCTGTCCAGTACTCCAGTGGTTCTCTAACTGATGTCAGCTCATGATGAAATCCTCCATGCAGTAGATGTGTGCTAAACTTGGGCGCTGAAGTAGGCATGTAATTCTATATTAATTTGCATATTAGATATTACATCACACAGTCAGTGAAACGGTATTATTATTTACTGGATGACAAACATTTCGAACACTATTTACCTACTGTTCATAATCATATTGTCGATTGTAACTAGACAACTTTGAAACTGCCATTCTATAGTTTTCTTTATTCCTTCCCCATTCGTAGAATTTTCCAGATGTCCCGGTGTTGAGCCATTCCTGTGACACATGTTTGCAGTTGATTCGATAAGTGGAGCTTCCGCTGTCAATCGCTCTATCCCCCCACACTGTTATATTAGATGTTAGAACTGTCATTCTATCCCATCCTATTGTATGGTTGGTTGTGTGTAATTGCATGTAGTGAGTGCTATAGCTGAATTATTCTCTAGATTTCTTATGTTATTTGGATCAACCAATCTAGATTTTGCTGCTAGGTTTTTATGCTCGGCTAGTCTGACTGCACCTGTTCTACTAGTTTGACCTACGTATTTGATCTGACAGTCATTCCAGCAAGGTATCAGATAAACTAAATTGTTTTGTTTAATTGGCTGAACTCCACACAATCCTTTAACCAACAAAGTTTGCTTCTGATTGAGTTTGTGGGTTTGAATGCCACTTTTAATACTGTCTGCATTGTTAGAAATTCTCCGTAAGATTTCCAAGGTTTCTGCCTTGTATGGAAGTACTACTGATGAATTAAATTCCCTATTGTTGGTGTTGTCGTTATCCTGTGCATGTTTGACATGCATGTCATCATTATTAATATTATTATCACTATCACTAATATTATTATTAATTTGATTTCTACACTTTCCTGTATACTTGCTGATTAATTCATCAGGGTAATTATTAAGTAAGTTTCAAAGCTTCTCTTATATGCCTCACTTCCCGTCTTAGATTTTCCTCTGTGGACTACTTAGTTTTTGTGCCCTATTACTCAAGTATTTCACCAATCCTATTTTCACTGACACAGATAAGGTGTGATGACCAGAAATCCAAATATCGTTTTGAATGTGTGGGTTTCCGGGAAACACGAGTGTGTTTAACTCTCCGCCTTTTCTCCTCTTAATGCTACAATCCAACACTGGAAGCTCTCCCTACTTCCTGACTTTCCAATTCATCACAAGTGAATTGAATTGCCTCTGCCTTCGAATTGATTTTTTCGAAAAATCTACTAGTAGTAGTAGTAGTCTCATTTACCACTTACCTGTGATAAAAATTAATCAAATTAATTAATCAAATAGACCAATCATACACCATCATGTGTATAATTCTCTGAAGACAAGTCTGTAACCATCGCATCCCCTATTTTATTATTATTATTCTAAGAGCTGGTTTGTAAGGATTAAATTTGTTTTTACGAGTTTGACCACGGATTGATATCAGGTAGAGAACCACTGAAAACCTGGGAGTACTGCCAGACAGCTATTTCATCGTAGTTTAAGGATCATCGGCAGTACGCATCCACTGCCAGGGTTCGAACCCAGGACCTACCGGTTACAAGACAAGCTCGTACATCATTCAGCCACTGGGAACCAATTCAGTGGCCAGTCCATGAATTCTAACTTCTACCAATTCGTGATTTAGTCGGTTCCCAGTGGCTGAATGCTATTCGAGCTCGCCTTGTATCCGGAAGGTCCTAGGTTCGAACCCTGACAGTGGGTGCGTTCTGCCGATGATTCTCAAACTAGGACGGAACAGCTGCCAGGCAGTACTCCCTGGTCTCCAATGCTTCTCTAACTGACCGATATCAATCCATGGCCAAACTTGAAAAACAAAACATCACCTACAAAAACAACCAATCACGTTCAAGGTTACCAAGAGAGATGACTAATAAGCCTGTGGAGAAATTAAAAACCTTACTTCAAAAATTGAAGTATGCGCTGAGCATGTCGTCTAGTAAGACAATGAAACTTTCACAACTATAAACCATCCAGCTAAGAGAACGCAACAACTACACCAAAAAGCGATAATTGTCTTGCAACTTGATTTGCACTGAATCATGTTAGCTAGAACTCAGACTTTGCATACACCCGGTTAGGAATGTGCAGCTGCAGGTTCAATCCCTCACTGGAGCACTTTCTAAACCTTTTCCATCTGGGAAGTACGCTCCAAAATAAGGGTAGGCTAGCGACTCGCTAGTGAAACATTTAAGTTTGAAGCCTTATGTTCCACAGAGAATGTAAAGGAATAAAGAAGAAGGTCCTGAACGATGCATACTGCATGAAATCTGATGATAGTATACAGCTGCTAAAATGAAATAGGTAGAGCGGGTTTGAAACCCGGAGGTAGTCACTGACTGACGGTTGAGTACTTGAGCCAATAAGCACTAACACGTGATTCAAAGAAATAGATGCAGTATTTTGACTAAGTTTAGAGAAGACGGATGTGATCAAGATGACCAACCAACCAATCAACCGACAACAACAACAACCGCAAATTCCAGTCACTATCACCGAGAGAAATTTGAAAGTGATCACTTCTCTGACTTATCTGACCAGGGAGAATCGTTTCAACTACAGACAGTCAGGACAAATGACGATATCAAGACCAAAATCTGAAAATCAACACAGACACTCATCACTTTGAAGTCGGTTTGGAAGTCTCCTGTATTCAGAAAAAAGGACAAAATTAGGATTTTCAACACCAATGTTATATCAGTCAGTCAGTCAGTCAGTCAGTTCTCCTATGTGCGTCAGAAACTTGGCTAGTGCATTATGACAAGTATTTCTAACAGCAAGCTGCCTCCAATGGTTCTATATAGAGGATCAGATAGTCAGCCAGAAAGAATTAACAACAAGAAATCCTGGGAACGAACCAATCGAGAAGCTATTACTTAACGAATATCCCGAAGAAAATAGAGATGGAGACGGTCAGGTGAAGTTGCACACCAGGCCATCGCTCGAGAGGGCCCCCAAGAGTGACGTGCATGAGATAAGAGACAACGGGCGATCAAGGGGCCAATTGTTGAGGACTGTAGAAGACAGGACAAAATGGAGACCAACTGTTGAAATTCTATCTTCCACTCGGAATCCCGCTCAATATGGGTATAAACGATCATCTCACTAATTCATATCAACACATCTGGAACAGAACAAAAACAGTTATTTCAAGCTGGATACAACACAATTACCGAGTTAGCATAGTACTCAACAGGATAGTGGAACATCTAAATCAACACTTAATTCACATGCAAAGAAAGCAGGCGTCGGTGGTGGCACAGCGGTTAGGACTCTCGCCGACCATGCGCACATGGTCCGAGGTTCGATCCCCCGCCGACACCTGATATCTATGGTCGGCCTGCTAAACTTGAGCTACCGATATCACACGCTGAAAATTTCATACTTGTACCAAAATACTGTGTGGAATCAAGCTATAATAATAATAATAAAATTTTAAAAAATAACCCATAAACTAGTATTATTACATAATGATAAAATGACTACTATTACAAGAAGTATTATGATCACACATGGGAGATAACAAGCATAACTCACCATTATTCATTCCATACACCAGCCGGTTCCAGTTGACTAACGAAGCTGTTGTCGACTTCCATTCAATCTCTAGAGGACAACAAAAACAAGTATGTCTACATGAATTATCATAATGACCATAAGAGATTTTGGGAAAATACTCTTGGGGACCATAAAAACGTCAAGTAGTATTGAAATTTTAGAAATCACCTATCAGTACTGCAGAATTGTCTGTGTATTTTGCTGAAAGGTTCTCTACAATGAGAACATAATACCTGACAGATGTCAGTTTTTAGTGTGTGTGTGTGTGTATGTGTGTGTGTACTACAGACGAAATGTTTGACAATCGAAAAAGCCAACAGTCCGTACAACTGTCCACAGAAATTCAAACGGGAAGTGTAGATTTTGTATTGAGATTTTCCATGTGTCATGCCGACTGTAGTAGATACCCTGGATCACTTACAAAATACCAAGGTGTTTACAGTTCTAGACACCGTCCCTTCTATCAGATTATCAGTAGATACCGATAAAACAAGACGAAACAATATCAGTTTAAAAGTGTGATCTTCGGATTAACAGGTACACCTTTTGGTCAATAAGACGTTTAATGGTGTTACTGATTAAGGATTTGAGGAAGGTGAGAGTGTACGCTGACAACCTAGTCACAGACAGTCATCAGACCTAAGTGGATCATCATGCAGAACATGCAGAAGCTGTTTTAGGATGCATTGAATTCTTTGAACTAGTGATGACGGAACACGCTACATGATGGGTAGATGCTATCACGACGGTGGATCAACACGTGCAAAGACTGTGACTGACATAGTGAGGAATAGAAGATCATTGTGAAAAAATGTATAGAAAGAATGAAAGGAAGCCCAAGCTACTGAAACTGTCCACATCTTCGGCTTCTCTGTCTGAATCTACAGTTCAGTGAAGACTCGTAGACAGAAATACTGCGAAACAGACTGTCCTGATCATTGAAGAAAACCTTTTTCGAGGCTGAGCAATCTTGACTAACTTTCTTCAAAAAACCAACCATTTGCATGAACACAAGAGGCCGTTAAGCTACCCCTGCTGACTGGTCTTATCAATGGCCTTATCTATCAGTTAACCTCCTCCTGTGTTGAGTTAGGTATTTTCGGCAGTACCCAGCGTTTGTTATCTAAACGTATCCTCGAAAACTTACACTCATGGTTTGTAAAGGAGAAGAAAGATCCCTCGTCACAGATGTCTATCCTGGAACACTTGATCAAATCTCGTTATCAAGCAAGTCCACAAATCAACTTCGAAACCACCAACAGAATATGCAGAAATCTTGCTAGAAGAGTACGAATCACGCTTTTTCGGACCGCAGAAGTAATGGTAACTCATACGTTAAATCCTGAAATCTGTATACAGAAGAAGTTTGTTCAATCGGTAAATCTACACAATTGACTTGATCTGTCTTAAAACTAAATACGTAATTTTTGTTTTTTGTCTTTTTTAATTGTGTTGGTTTCTCCCCTCACCCCCTATTACATATCTACCCATTTATTACCACTGTTGTTGTTAACTTGACTATTTAAATATTACCATCATTAATATTAGAACAAGACATATAAGCGAACAATATTGTTGTTTTCAATTAGATCTTCTTCAGGCTTTACTCTAATTTACATAGATTTATATATAAAACGGAATTTAACCAATGACGGTGAGTTTGTGGATCGAATAATAATAATAAAGTGGTTAATGTTTTGGACGTAGTTAATAACGATGATTATAATGATAACAAAATATTGATAATAAGGTTTATGCAGGTGGCGATAAGAATAACAAAGGTAGTAATATGTGTGCATGTAGACAATTCAATAAATAAATTAGGTCAAATCTTAAAAGTTACGTAATACTAAAGATGAAGTGGACAGATAATCAGAGTTTAAATAAATATCATAAAAGTAAGAAGGAAACGGAAAATAAGAAAGGGTGGGAGGGGTTTGAATAGAATTCACCTAGGCCAAGGGAGAGACAAAGGTAGAATAAACTTCTTTTGTATGCAAAGACTAGGATTGTTCTCTCGAATTCCCATAGCTTCGGCTAGGTGTAAAAGACGAGTTCTGATTCCGTTCGAAAGACTCGATGGAATGCGATAGATAACTTTGAAGGCACTATTTTTGTCCACTTGGTGACCACTATCAATCAAATGAGCCAAAATAGAACTTCGTATAGATTTTATTTGACCTTATCCGAACCATGATGGAAGATGCTCATTAGTGCGTTTGTTAAGGTGTCTAGTTGTTCGTCCTATATAGCTCTCTCCACAGGAGCAACTAAATTTATAGGTATACATAGATGTGGCACAACTAGGTAGCTTATCTTTCACTTGAGCAATCATAATTGGTCAGCAGCTGGAAAATGACAAACAAAGGGTGGTGGCAGTATAAGTCCGTTTTATCGCTCTCGATAATCTCAGATGTAAGACTTCGCTAGCCACGTCCCCATTAAATTGCAGTTTCATGAACAGTTGTTTCTTTTCAACTGTTGTCACTTTCTCTTTATTGTACTTGGTGTTCATGTATCTCCTTACAAATCTACTAGGATAACCCATTTGGACCAGCGTATTTTGGATGTATCCTAACTCCTTTTTCTAGGGAGTCATCTGTACAGATACGTCTTGCTCCATTAATGAGGCGTCTGACCAAACTGATTTTGTATCGGATTGTCCTACAGATGTAGGTTTTCTATAGACATCCCTCTTGAGTGAACCATCCTCTCATCTGCTCAATTGGACGTCAAGGAAATGTAGTCTACCATCATGTTCTTCTTCACAAGTGAACATGAGCAGTGGATGTGCATCATTAAACTTTTTTAACATTTCATTCTTGTCAGTTTTCAAATCAAGAATAATGAACGTATCATCAACATAACGAAAATAAGAATCCGTTACAATCTATTACTTGTTTCAATGGAGCATTTTCAAGCTTAGCAAAAAAAGAAATCTGCCAAAATTGAACCCAATGGAGAGCACATGGCAATACCGTCGATTTGTCTGTAATAAAGGTTGTTGTTGTTGTAGGTGAAGTGTACATATCATAGTGCTCTTTCAGACTAACAACTGGAATTCCGATGTCGAACTGCTTTTCTAGTATCTGCTGGCATATGACTCTTATTCAATTTTAGTTGAATTCTACTCAATCCCCCTAATTAAACTATATCACTCATCCAACAGCTGTACGGCAATGCTGCATGCCAAGTAATCCACAATGGGAAACTTACGGAATCCCTCGAAGTGAGAACAGGAGTAAGACAAGCTGGCTGCCTACTATCGCCAATGATTTTTCTGATTGCAGTAGATTGGATAATGCGACAAACAGCGGGCAATGAGGAAACAAGCATAAAATGGACTCACACAAAAAACTTGGAGGATCTGGACTTCGCCGATGATATATGTCTGATTTTCCAGACACTTGGAGAAATGCAAGCGAAAAGCAACAAGTTGGCAGAAGAAGCATCTAGAGAAGGTAGGACTTCAAGTGAACATAGAGAAAACAGAGGTGATGAAAATTCCTGGCCAACACCAACAACAGACAACAATCAGCATAAATGGGAGGAACCTGAAAGAAACAACCTCCTTCACCTACCTGGGAAACATCGTTTCAACTACAGGTGGAACTGACGAGGATATCAAAGCAAAAATCGGAAAAACAAGACAAGCTTTCACTACTCTGAAGCCTGTGTGGACGTCAACAACACTCAGCATCAAAAATAAGATCCGGATTTTCAACTCCAATGTTAAGTCAGTGCTACTCACTATACGGATCAGGGACTTGGCGCGTCATAAAGAGCACCTCAAACAAATTACAGACCTTCATTAACAGTTGTCTTCGCTCAACACTCAAGATCAGATGGCCAGAAAAGATCAGCAACAGAGATCTCTGGCAATGAGCGAACCAACCAGGAACCAATTGTGAAACAAATAGGTAGGAAGAAATGGAGGTGGATTGGCTGACCATACTCTGAGGAAACCATCAAGTGACATCACTAGACAAGTCATTGCTCGAGTGGAACCCGGAAGGGAAGCGGCGAGTTGGTCATCAGTGCGAGGGTGGGTGACTAGGAGGAGGTCATGTGAAGAGGAGATGAAAACGTGTGGGCATACATGGAGTCAGGTGAAGACTCTAGCAGAGAACCGAACGCAATGGAGACGCACGGCTGAAGCCCTATGTTCCTCTAGGAGTTAAAGGATACAATAATAATATAATAGTAATACTCAATTTACTTATTTAATTTCAGTTTCTACCCGATTAACGCTTTCTACATAAAGTAATTTGCTATCTAAGATTTAAAATTCTAGTTACATATCTTTGGAAATATATTCCTTCCCTTTGCTAAGATACTTTACTGTGGTTATATACGACTATACACAGAATAAGGTTGGCATCGCCGAGAATAACTCTTCTCTGAATGTCTTTTCTTTTATGCCATTAATCCATAAATATAAACATGAATCTTCAAGCATTGGTTTTGTAGGTATTTTGTTTGATTGGTTGGAGGACTTCATCATGAGCTGACATCAGTTAGAGAAACACTGGAAAACTTAGGCGTAGTGGACAGTTGTTCCGCCGGCCTAGTTTGGGACTCTTCATTAGTACGCATCCACCGCAAGCGTTCCAACCCAAGACCTTCTGGTTACAAGGCTAGCAAGCTCATAAACCATTAAGCCACTAGGACCCGAGCCAATCGCCAGCCAGTGCATGAATTCTAACTTCTGCCAATTCACGCATGACATAGCGCGACCGCTTCGCAATGTCTTCTTTGATGAGGTTACTGTAAGGATTTGGATGAGGTCCGATATATATTTCACCAGGAACCAACACATCATCTAGAGAAGTTGTGGCCAGTTGGGTCTACTGTGTAGGGGTGAAGAGGATGTGCATCGGTAGCAATGACTGGTGGTAGTTGCGTGATATCTCCGATTGATTAATATAAGTATAAAACTTGGGCACTGTGGTAGAGTATAATTCCATAATGGATAAGATTTTATTTTGATAAATCACACAGTGTTGTACAGTTATATTAACTGATGACGTTTCGAGCACAAACTATTGCTCATAATCATATCAAGTTGATTATGATTATGAGCAATAGTTTGTGCTCGAAACGTCATCAGTCAATATAACTGTACAACACTGTGTGATTTATCAAAATAAAATACGATTGACTGAGGCTATAGATTTCACGCTGGCTCAGTAACCCGAAGGATTTTGAGTTCGAACCCTGGTGACGTCATGGGTGCGCACTGCTAGCTGAGGGATCGCAAACTAGGACGCAACCACTGTCCAATGCTCCCTAGTTTTCAGTAGTCTCTAAGTGATGTCAGTTCATGGCAAAGCCCACATTGAAACAGATTGAATTACTAGGTACTGCAGTAGTATGCAGACGGAAAAACGCAACCCAAGACGCAGTTTATTTGTTATGAAAAAAAGACAGAAATCTAAACAAAGTCGCCTTCTTCAACCTATCTAGGCGGCACAGAATCGTTTACACCATAGGCGACAAAGGATGAGAATGTCAAAACCAGTCGGTCAGGATAGGAAAGACACGACACACGCATTCAATAATCTGAAATCAGTGTGGATATTTGATGCACTCACAGCATAAACAACAAGAGTCGGATTTTTAACACTTCTCTACACGAGTTAGAGACTTGATGCGTGCGTCATGCAAAAAAGCATTTCCAAATTTATCAATAGCTGCTCCCTAGGCTGGTGTGCTATACCAAAGATCAGATGACCAGTCAAAAAGGACATGGTAGGACCTACAGGAACATAAGTTCCAGCCAGTGTAGCTCGTTGGGTCATTGAGATATGCAAACCCGACCACCACGTCAAAGTAGCAGCTTTCGGTCGGGAAAAAAAAGGACTGGTAACGAATCAACCAACAAATATTCTGAAGAAAATGGTTGCGGATTAAACACACACGTTGAAGAGACAGTGCAGGGATATCATGCGATAGGTAGGTCCTCGAGTGGAAGCCGAGTGGGGAACGACAAGTTGGGCATGAGTCCGAGGATGACATGAAGATGATCACGTGAAGAGGAGGAGGAAGAGGTCAGAGCTTATGAGCAATCCTGGAGCCAGCTAAAGAGCATTCTGTCTCTGTCTGTCTGGATTCAACATAGAACTTCGCACCGAAGTCCAGCAGTTCCAGTTGCCACGTTCCAAATACCACACAAAGGTAGACAAGAAAATGAGTGAAGAGAATCAATAGAGTTTCGACAAGTATAAGAGTGGAACAGAATGAGTAATGGTAGGAAGGAATATGAAAGATTACAGAGACTGAATACATCTGCGTAAGCCATTGACAACGATTTTGAGCCATGTCACCTATTGTCTCCAGTCATTGATTCTTAAAGTCCCGAGGGCGGGCCCCAACCCGGAAGTCTGCATCTCCCTACCTGACTCAGTTTAACTGTCAGGGATTTCATGGATTGATGCCATGTTTTTGTTTGGCCACCACTTACTCTTTACCAACCTGCACTTATATCAGCTAGTAATGCCCGTCGGAGGAGGCGATGGTTAGGCATGCGCAACACGTGACCTAGCCATCTCAATCTATGTAACTTCATAGCCTCTTCGATTTATTTTCCCTCTTTGCCCAACTCTACGCCTAACGTCAACATTATTTACCTTACGTGAGAAAGAGATCGTAGACATCTATGATCAAAAATAGTCAACCTTTTCATGTCTTCAACTCGTATTGGCAATGTCTCAGAGCCATAGAGAAGGACGAAGCGAACTGCTGAGTAGTACACACGTCCCTTGGTTGATAGCCGGATGTCACGCCTACGCCAGAGATGGTGTAAGTTAGCGAAAGCAGCTCGAGATTTTTGGATCCGTCCTGAGATTTCGTCACCAATCGATCCGTTGGTGCTGATACAACTTCCCAAATAGGTGAAGTGGTCAACATGTTCTATCACTTCACTCCCTATCACTAAGCTAGGAGTTGACGTAGTCCAGTCCTGTAGCAGCATCTTACATTTTACGGGGGCGAATCGCATGCCAAACATACGAAGATTGCTGCTCAAAGTGTTAAGAAGACTCTGCATTTTGTCAGCATCCTCCCCTAACAGGACTATGTCATCTGCATATTCTAAGTCCATAAGACTATTCCCTGGTAACAAGTCGATTCGTAAGTCGTTAAGTTCAGTTAAGGATACTGCCATTAGCATAACTATGATGAAGTTAAACAGAAATAGAGAAAGCGGACATCCCTGATGGACACCACTGGTTGTTAACAATTCAGATGGCAATTACCCATAAGCCCTTAAACGGCTTGATTAGTGCAATGTACTTTCTTGGCACTGCCTTCACAGTCAAACACTGCCATAGTACCTTTCGATCCACGGAGTCGAAGGCCGCCTTCAAGTCAAGAAATATGGCAATTGTTGGACGCCTTAAAGTGTGTCTATGTTCTAGGATCTGTCGGAGAGTGAAGATATGATCTATGCACCCTCTACCTGGCCTGAAGCCTGCTTGATTTTCCCTCGTTTGTTCCTCCCGAGTTCGGCTTAGTCTGTGCATGATTACTGAGCCTAGGATTTTAGAGACTATGTTCGTTAAGCTGATCCCCCTATGATTATCACATGAGGACTTGTCTCCCTTCTTGAATATTGGTATAATAAGTAGCTAAAGAGCATTGCAGAGAGCAGGATAAAATAGGGATGTTCTGCTAGGAACCGAAGGGTATAGCAATAATACGAAGAAGAAGAGAAGAGCATGTGACAACATACCAAATAACACATGAGAGAATTGAAAATTAAGACAAAAACAAAGTTTACCGTCTAGTATTTGTTTCACTTTCATATGTGCACTTTTCAATACTGATGGATCTTGTTGATTTTTATCAACCTCCTTCTTCTTCTCCTCCTGAAAACCAGCTGGTACAAGGAATCCTGCAATTGGCTCTTCAGAGAATACACGTATCCCATCGGTTTGTTTATTGGTTTCATCTTCCATGGTTACATCAGCGCTATCATCGTCATCATCACCACTATCGTCATCGTCATCTGTAGAACTGGCATTCGATACTCCATCTTCATCATCATCGTCATCGCTTTCGCCAGACAATAATGGTGCATCATTAATCATACGTACTTTATGCGTTTTATCCAGCTGTTCATCAAGACCTCCAATTTCATCGAAAGTCGCGCGTAATTCGTCTAACATTGACTGACTGACACTTGTCGGTTGATTATTTTTATCATTACTGCTATTTCCATGTCGAGATTTACGATTCGTCAGGTAATGACTACCACCGAGATCAATGTAAGTTGCATCACGATCAAATAAAACACCACCAAGACTAGACATTGGAGCGTAAATCTGAGGGGAAGGAGGGTGGGAAGAAGAAAGAATTTGTAAAGACAACAGGAAGTCAGTGCAGTAGTCCTGATATTTTGAATAAGTTTTAAAAAATCGTTTATTCGCCGAAAACACGGGGAGTTAATCAACCGGTACTGTTCATGGGCTAAAGATCTCCTAGCCAACAGTCTCCTTATTGGGGGGCATAGTATCAGACCAACCATTGCATCTTAATCCTGGGAATTTCACAAAATATCAGCGTGTCGACTGGAAACATCATCCAACAATCCAGTTCAGAACTATAGTTAGGTTGTCTCCAACCTTCGTCGGTTCTTACCATCCCCAACCAGGAAGCCTACACATCCCTACGTGGCTGCCTTAAACTAACTGTTGTTGATTTCAATAACTGATACCAAGTTTTAGTTTGACTACCATTAGCTCTTTCCCAACCTAATCTCATGTCTAAGCACGCAATCGAAAGAAACGTCAAACCAAAACAAATTTCCTATGTTCCTTATGCTGAGTGTGGTGCAGAAGATTTCCAAACTGGTTTCAGGTTGATGGAGGTGTATCTTGCCTTTCCGATCCTGGTTGGCTCTGACATCTTTATCCGGGCTGTCCGACTGCCTGTGGTTGAAACCATGCTTCCTGGATGGACAAGTGAAGGAAATAACCTCTCTCAAATCTCTCTCGTTGATGGTTGATTGGTGCTGGTTGTTGTTGTTGTTGCTGTTCGTTGGTTGGTTGGTTGGTTATATTCATCACCTTCGTCTTCTCCATGCTCACCTGGAGTCCTGTCTTCGCTGCCTGCCTCTCTTCAGCCAGTTTGTTGGTTTTCGCCTGCAAGTCTTCGAGTCTGTGTGACACTAAACAGTTCACATCCATTCCATCTGCTCTCACAGATTCACAGCACTTCTATATCATATCTTCTCATTTCTCCAGCTATCTGGATAGCCTTCCCAGCTAGGAACATTCCACGTCCCCATTCTTACTCTTGCTTTCATCAAGAGAAGGAAGACATAGCGGCTGACTGGATTCTCGAAGGCTTTCACCATCCAGCCCACTGTGTCATTTCACCTCTCTGATTTCAGTGAAAAATAAATTTATTTTTCATACTCTTTTTGTATTTTTAATATTTCTATCGCACATGAAATATGTTTCTTTAAGCTGGCATTACTGACATCGTATTTATAACAAATTTTAGCACAGTTTAAGGTAGCTGGTTGTAATGAGATAGATTTAAGACAGTTGAGAGGCACACAGAGTGACAGCCTCCATAAACAACCTGGTATGGTTGAGGGTGAAGAGACTTTTGTCTTCTCCGCGAAATGCTACCGTGTAGTCACGCGATCACAGCTTCTGCCACGTAACTCCGATTCACTGCCTTCACTCAGCGGGAGTGGTACTCACAGAAGTCAAAAGGAGAACGAGAACGTCTGGAGCAGGTCTACCCAAGGGAATCAGAAAACTGATTCAAAACCTACGGTGCACATGACCTACAGAATCCGGCTAGATCAAATAGCGTATGAACCTGTTTTTGTCATCGGTAACTATAGGAACGTAGCTCCTGACGCTGCTCCACTGCCTTGTGAGGTCAGACTTCAAGTCAAAGGCCCTCGAGGTGGTCCCTTGAAACAATCACCTGCTTTGATCTGAGCATCTGTTCGCTATCCCAGTCCTAGCACAAACCATAGGACTTTGTGTACCACACATCTTGGTGTCCATAATGTACCAACCTCAAACAAATGGTATGGTAGACATATTGCTTAGTCGATGGACGACCTGATGAATCAATAAAAAGATCTATTTATAGAAAACCTACCTGGACAGGACAGTATCTTAATTATCACACTTTCTGCCCTGTTCGGTACAAAAAGGGTCTCTTCAGTAGAATCCAGCGAATATGCACTGAAGACACACTTGACACAAACTCTGGTTGATAACAATTGTCCAGACAAGTTCATCAGGAGATATAAAGTAGTCAGAACACCACTCTAAAACTCGCCCCTAAGAAAGACGTGTACATCAAGCTACCCTATACGGGGCATCACAACAGCTTGATAACTAGACAGAGATTGCACGCTGTTGTTAAAAAGACTTTTTATGCAGCTAATATCATAATAATTGAGAATGTGAAGCCAATATATCCACCATCTAAGCCCTTTGAACATGCGAAAAATGATGTCACATCCCACTGTATTTACCAATTTGAATGTACGTGTGGCCACACATACATACATAGGGAGGACTCATCGATCTCTGCAAGTAAGGGCTGGCTTCAGAGCATATTCCTAAATGGCTCCAGAAATAAATGGAATCTTCAGAACCCATTAATGGTGAGAACAGGAGATCTAGCCCCTCTATTGCGAAATATAATATAGAGATAAGACATAAAATTGACGTTAACACATCTTTTAAACCTATCTATAAAACGTGTTTGGGGGAGGGCGTACCCTAAAGTTTGTGGAAGCCCTAGCAATTAGAAAGTGTAAACCACCTTTATGCGTTCAAAAACAATTCGTCATGCCACTAAACCACCTCCCTTGGTAAATTTTGTTTGGATACCAGTCAGGGTAGATGTACTGTTACCTCTGCTATTTGGTTTAGTGGTCTTCATTGTTATTTTGACCCAAAATATGGCGGCCTTTTAACTTGATCTAAGTCTATTTTCTCACCTCTTAACTCTTTATCAATTTCATATATATTCCTATGACAAGTCCATGTGTGCTGGATCGGATTGTACGAAATGTGTTGCGCAAATACATTACACGATTCAGACAAATTACGTCTTCTTATTGCTTTATCTAAATGGTATGCATACATACAAAGAATTTTTTCGAATACTTAAACATATTACCTTTCTGTCACGTTCAGACAAATGTTTTGTTGTTTTAACCCCTTCACCGGCATTCATTTGATTCGATCGACCAGGCAAAGGACATGGATCAGGTTGTTGAGTACAATCAGCTAAAGCGAAATCACCAAGTCCTGCTATATGTATTCCAGGCGATGTTAATGCAGGCGGCAAAGGAGCACCACGTACCCATCCATATAAACTAATACAACGATCAGAGTTCTCGTCATCAGACAGCAATTTTTCATCAGTTATATCTTCTATACGATCAATCAACAAGTATGGGTGAGAGCTACGCCAATCTGATGGTCTCGGAGTTTTAACCATGATTAAGCGACCAAGACGACGGACTTCATTTAACAAATAATCGCCGGGAGTTTCATCGGAATTTTGTTCATCAGCTCTGTGTGAAGCATCTAAAGACAAAAAAAGATGGGCATAAACAAATAAAAAATAAGCGGGAAATCTGAGAATAAAAACCATATCAATGAATTTATCCTTCAAATAAAAAGAAACACTCCAAATGCCGGCTGAACTATCTCCAGGTTCAGTGTTGACTAACCAATAAAAAGAAAAATAGATTTTCCCATTGACTAACTGAATCGAAACGTTCAGCTTCCGTTGAAATGTCGGCTCCTTGTGATGATGCTTCGACGATGTCTGAGGGTTTAACAGATGCAGAACAGGAAAGTTCAAATCGAATTAAATAATAATTGACACCCTCGTTGCTCGAGAGGTGGCTCTCGCCACCCAAGTGATCTAATGGATAACACCTTAGCGTTTGAAACGATGGGTACTGGATTCGAGCCGCAGTGGAGGAACACAATCAATCACTGGAGAATGCAGGTAGGAACAGATGACCAGCCTTAAATAGGATGAAGTGTACATCCTAGATTCCATTGTCAGCCATTATCCACCGAATTACTTACAGATTTATTTATCGATTTCGAAAACTGAGAACCTAAACAACTTTTCAATTTTGAATTCACCTGTCTAAAGTTCTATAATGAGACAACAAAAATACGTTGTCCAACTAAAGTTTTAAGATAAATACATAAGAAATATCCTAAACAAGGTAAAGGGAGGCACAAACACGAGAAAACCAGGCAGGGTTTAGACCAGGAAGGAAGAGGGTGTATTCATCATATCTTCACTCTTCGACAGATTCTGGAACATAGGCATACTTACTGGCGGCGTCCAACAATCGTCATATTTCTTGACCTGAAGGCGGCATTAGATTCCGTCCACCGAGAGGTACTATGGCGATGTTTGACTGTAAAAGGAATGCCGAGTTGTCATCTGAAGTGGTGATAACTAGTGGTGTCTGTCAGGGACGCCCACTATCCCCATTTCTATTCAATTTCATCATAGATGTATTAATGCACTTGACCCTAACTCACTTCAGCAACCCAGGCATTGACTTGTTACCAGGGAATAATCCCGCTGACTTAGAATATGCAGATGACATAGTCCTTCTAGGTGAAGACACTGACAAAATACAAGGTCTTCTGAACACCTTGAGTTGCAATCTGCGAATGTTTACCATGCGATTCGCTCCCGCCAAATGTAAGATGACGCTACAGAACTGGAATACACTGACTCCTAGCTTAGAAATAGGGAATGAAGTGGTAGAGCACATTGACCACTTCACTTATTTGGGATGTTGCATTAGCCAGCGTCAACGGGTTGATCGCTGACGAAATCTCAGCACTGATACAGAAGGCTAGTTTGTCATATGCCAAGTTACTTCATCTCTGGAGTAGACGTAATATCCGGCTATCAACCAAAGGACATGTGTATAGCTCAGCAGTCCACTCCATCCTCCTTTATGGCCAGCCGCGAGACATGGCCATTGAGAGTGGAGGACATGAAAAGGTTATCTATCTTTGATCATATGTGCCTGCGTCCTATCTCCCGTGTAAAATGGTATAATAGGGTGAGAAATATTGAGGTTAGGCGTCAAGTGCTACGTAAAGAGAGGAAATCAATCAACGAGGCTGTGAAGTTACATCGACTGAGATGGTTAGGATATGTGTTATGCATGCCTAGCCATCGACTTCATCGACAAAGGGCAATGTTAGCTGACATAGGGTTAGGGTGGAAAAGAGCCAGTGGTGGTCTAACCAAAACATGGCACCAGTCAATGAAATCCACAACAATTAGTTTAAGCTACGTAGGAAGATGTAGACTTCCTGGTTAGGGTCTTCGGGACGGTAAATACCAATGGCTGGAGACAACTGGTAATATGGCTCAAAATCGTTCTTAGCGGCGTAAATGCATCTACTCCTTGTGACTTATATTTTCCAATAAAACTATATCGTTCTTCGATTTTACTATTCTTTTTGCCTCATATCTCTCTTGATTGTCTCTGTTTTGCATTTCTTTTTACTTTCTTCTTCTCTGGCTTTGTGTGCTGAGTGTAGTGTGGCGACTCGAACTGTTGCACTACGGTGGAAAGTTCTACGTTGAAACCAGTCAGTCAGTATAAAAGTTATTGGATTCCTTTAGAAGAAAAAATTGTTGAAGGCAATCGTAGTTGTCATATATAGGGGCGAAAACAAACTCAAAAATTACTAAAACTGAGGATCACTGACTTCAAAACATTTCCTCTACATACAAGTTCACGAAATGCAACAACAAAACAATAGAAATTAAGTGAAATCAATATCTTTTCGGTTACAAGGCGAGCTCATAGAACGTTTAGCCACTGGGAGTCAATCCGAAAGCCAATCCGTGAATTCCAGCTTCTGTAATATACGAAAAGTGCAGCCGCCAGCCAATGTCTTAGGCCAGTAACTCATCTCTTACCTGACTTGGTAGACGCCACTGGTAGTTACGAATTCTCACCAGAACTCCAGGTAACTTCCTGTATAGAGCCAGTCACTAGTGAGCATTAGATTAATTATCAAGTAGGGGTAATGGACATCTGTTTCCTCAGCCTAGTTTGGGACTCTTCATCAGGACGCACCCCCTGGCGTTCGAACCCAAGACCTTCTGCTTACAAGGTGAGCTCGACTTTCCGTCAATGGGTCTCGGGTTCCAGTCCCACTTCACCTACTTCACAATCTAGGCGAATGGGTAGTGTCATTAGCTCCCCACATACACAAACACACAATAAGTGTGGCTTATACCTTAGTACTGTGTAATTGAGATCTCACTAAACTAACTAACAAATGTGATTGCATTGTAATTTGATGCAGTATTAATGCATAGACAATGAATTAGTCAAATGCGTTCAATGCTTCACGTAATTCGACCATCGCGTAAGGCCTGATAGACTGGTCATTGGTGACATTAATCAACCTGCACCACATTTAGAGATTTTCAGCTATCAATCAAATGGAAGAATAGCTGTATTTGATGATATATGTCAATTATTACTGTTAACTGGAGCGAAATAATGGAAATATTTTGAGGTAAATAAACAAAGTCAATCAAAGTTGGTATCAATATTCATTCAACGATATCTGTTCTGTTGTTTTTCGACATAGAACTTTGCATATATGTGCGGCAGTTCAAGTCGCCACACTCCATGTAGCACACTAAGCTAGAGAAGAAAGTAGGAGAAATGCATAATATAGACAGTAAACAGAGGTGTGAGACAAAGGAATAGTAATAACGAAGAACAAAACAGTTTCATTGGAAATCATAAGTCACAAGGAGTGGATGCATCTGCGCCAGCCATTGAGAACGATTTTAAGCCATGTCACCAGTTGTTTCCAACTATTGGTTTTTACCGTCCCGAGGACCCCAACCAGGGAGTCTACACCTTCCTACGTGGCTTAGACTAACTGTTGTAGATTTCATTGACTGGTGCCATGTTTTCGTTTGACCGCCGCTAGCTCTTTTCCAGTCTGACCCTATATCAGCTAACATTGCCCATTGTCGAGGAAGGCGATGACTAGGCATACGTAACACATGTCCTAACCATCTCAGTCGATGTAATTTCACAGTCTCGTCGACTGATTTCCCCTTCTTACCTAGCACTCGACGCCTACGTTCAATTTTGCCCACCTTATTATGCCACTTCACGCGGAAGATAGAACGCAGGCACCTATGATCAAAGACAGCTAATCTTTTCAACGATATGGCAAATATGTTTCAGGCATCCAGTAATATTCCCATCTTGGTAACGTTCACTGAGTATAGGATTAGGCCAATAAGTGCGGACAAGTCAAGCCAAAATATGACATCAATTTAATTAGTATGGAGGTGAAAATTAGCAGCCAGGGGTTATCCAGACGCTAGGAACCAATGGTTGGGAAGTCTTCATGACACGTTTGAAAATAGTCCAGAATGTCACGAATGCAGTAACTCTATGTCATTCATATTTTAATAACAATAATAATAACAATCATTTTATTCCAAACAATAATTTAATTCAATGAGGCTCAAACAGATATCCAGGTAGTATTGCTAGTTATGAAGCAATGCAGTCTACAGTATACTACACAACGATTTGATCATAGGTGTCTTTGTTCTATCTTCCATGTTAGGTGGCATAATAGTGAGTAATATTGAGGCTAGGTACCAAGTGTTAGGCAGGAGGGGAAAGTTAATCGATGAGGTTGTGAAGCAACATCGACTGAGATGGTTGGGACATGTGTTAAGCATGCCTAACTATCGCATTTGTGGAGTCTGGAATAGTATGACTGTACAGTTTTTTGTTATAGGTTAAAAATGGGAACACTGTACACAACTTTTGTTTCAAACGAATCATTGTTAAAACATATATCACTTTTGGGGTACAATCTAAAATACAGTGTGCTGCTCGACGTTTCGTGTTCTCACTGGTTCATCCTGTCTACTTGCTTCACTCATAACCGTGTTGTATCCTTTGGATTTTTCAAGAACCTCTCATCCTCATCCGAAGACCATTCTACAACCAGTGCACAGCTTTTACTAGCAGACACTACTCCAGCAATGAACATTAATGTGGATGATACTAATAATTTGTAGCAAGAGATTTTAACTGTATCACCGAATATAATTAACTTATTATCTTTTTATTCCTTCACGTTCCTAGTGGAACATAGGGCTTCAGGCTAGGGGCTTAAAGTTTCTGTAGCAGTGATGATTATTTTTACAGGATGGGGTTGCTAGTCTCATGCCTAACCTTCCATCTTTACCAGTCTTACAACTGGCTTAGATAGTTAAAGGAGTGCGTCGGCCGGGGATCGAATAACGGACCACCTGTGTGGTCGGCGAGCACTCTACCGCTATGCCACCGACGCATTCATTAATTTATAACTCTTAAAATGTTTATTTTTATAATATGCTGTTACATTATCATTTGCTTAACCCGGATTTTAATCCAAATATTTGTTCCCTTACTGAGCTCACTATTAAGTCCCCCACACATTCCTTGACGGTCATTGTTAGCCGAGATAGCATCAGGCTGCAAAAGAACTAGAGG